TGTTTACCCAAATGATCCTGAACCATATCTGGAAAGATCTGGAACTGCTAGGAAGTAAAGAACAGGCCGGTTTCGGAACAGGGTTCTCAACCGTAATACATATCTACGTCGGGAAGTAGCTGGCAGAGCAGTGCAAGGAATGCTAGTTCCCCATCCTACGCGTTTATCGACCTTAAAAGCGATTCGATTCCGTCGCTCTGAGAGCTGCATTGAACGCCTTGCACTACTTCGGTGTTAACTTTGTATTCGTCGATCTAACCGATCAACTGAATATTGGCACCGCAACAGACATAAAGCTGTTCGAGGAGCCGTGTCGAATTAGCATAAAAGCAGGAGGATGTCAGGGTCTCTCCTAAATTTATTACGACGGCGCTGGAACCCTTCTTTAACCGTTTGAAGTGGGGCGACGGCATAGATACTGGTCGAAAACGGCCAGAAGCTCTCTGTCACAACCTCATTCTTATCCAGGCTTTAGGAAAAGCCTTACAAGCCCCCAACCCTCACCTCCCAAGAAACATCACTGCCTAAACTTACCAATGAGTAAGGGAATAAAGTACAAGATAAACAATCACGGAATAAACTGAAATAAGAAGAAAGAGACGATATTTTCCAATCATGAAACTTTTGAAAATAAAGCATTACGTTCTTTATCAGCGTGCAAATATCAAGAATTTCATCATGGCGTAAAAGATGCTTTAAATGCATGAAAAACAAAATATGTTCTGATTAAACCCTTAAGAAAAATGCTGATATCATCACTGCTGACATCTGCTACATCATTCGCAACAATTACACATGTAAGTCGAATTTACCTCCTATTTATATCATTACTTTGAAAGGTATCCCATAAACGTAAAATATTTTCGTACCCAGCGGTATGTCAAATGGCGCATAACCCTTTAAAGGTTAGGTTTTATGGCAAATGGCAGAGCTCCTTTGCTCCTATGGAAAAAAATGGCATTCGATTCAATTCTATTTGAAGTCCAGCAGCGCCAATTGTTCGCTATAGCCACCTTACTCTAACTACGGAGGATATTTCAGACGGTATGATCGTTTTGTGCTGCGACAATAAACATCCATACAGACTGTGTGTAGGGGGAGCAGGGGCGGGGTTAGCCTAAATAGCCACCCTGGGCAACTAAGAGCAAAGGGGGCGGTGCAGTACGCCCTGAAATCAAATATTGAAGAAGTTATGCACTACGTAACTTACTCCGGTGTAAGAAAATATTTTCATGGTTGAGAAATGACGTAACTCAATTCTGACTGGTCCCCGTATAACGTGTTCGCGTGTAGAATATCATGATCCATCCATAATGCGAAAAGGACATTGGCTTTGGATAAGAGAAGGCGCGGACCAGCAAAACAGGAAGACAACTGTCCGCCAGAAGATTTATATAAGACGTGCATCACATGATCCAGTGATTCGTCTCTATTTAGTGGATGGCATGGTTCAGGCATAACTGTTTCCAGCCCATTAAGTTCCGTGTGACGCGTTACAATGGCAGACCATGACAGCTGGGGGGGGGGAGATACGCGTTGGTAAACTCATGCTGATTGGCCATAGCATCGGAAAGAGATCAATTAGAAAAGTGCAGTTATATATCATATATAGATATATTGATACTTTGAGATATATGTTGCGCGGTTGAGTGCTTGTAAATACCGTTATTTTCCCTGTGTAATAGCTCCTATCCCAAAATGGTAACAAATTTTAAGTACTTTCAAGATGCGATCCACGGATCGAGCACAGCACCAGAGTTGTCTGTTACATACTGCTATCCCTACCATACCCCTACCTGTCACTCGAGTCTACTCCCTTCCGCACACATGAGCTTACGTTTCTGAGTGTTTCCCTTTTGTTCTTGATTTCCATTCCATGATGCGTTGTCCAAATCAGATTGGATTCATAGTCTGTACTAGAAACATTACTTTATGGGACATCAGATGCCATGAAAGTGAAAAGAAACAAAACTGGAATCTGAATTTATCTCCATGTCGCATGATTAGTCAAGAATTACATAAATAACTAAATTCTGTGTGAAAGAGAACATAACGGCTTCCGGTCATGGATTAAAGATCATCCAGCAACAATGAAACGTACCATGGAAAGTTGCTTGCCATCGACAGCGAAAAACTCAAAATCTAAGCCTGCCAGACCACCGTAATCGATCCACTGATGCACGAATCGACATTCATCAAGGCCTATGGCGTTGACTGGGCAAACACGCCATCGGCTACCAAAACGTTCCACCTACCTGGATTCCATTATTTAAAAAGTTACCTACATAACTCTCCATATTCTTTCATTATTCCTTATCCTATCCTATTCTTATTCCTATTCCTTATCCTGTTCAATTTTTTGTTGTTTTTTTCAATTATCTTTTACTCATAAATTGTCCCCTTTATTTCTGTTTTTCATGAAAGCACATTTTGCATGCTCTACTGCTGATCTTTGTCATACCTGTTAAGCTGATGAAGAAACGCCTTACTAGAGCTCTGCAGTCATTATTGCGATGAATGTTATTTCCGGGTTTTCCGCCGTTTATTCATTTATTGTTTACTGCTTTTGGGTCGACCCCATGATGAGCTTAAGAAATCAGTTAAGCTTATCATATGCTGTTAAAAAAATTATAATGCAATATATCAATAATTTGCGAAGTAAAGCAATTGTTGGTCTATGAAAAATGCAGATCCCTCAGAGAGTACGACGAACTCTCTTTCAACATTACAAGCCAACACTGAGGGTCTGAATCAAAGCGCTCGGTTAACTTTAACGGAGAACGATGAAGAATTTGGTCATGTCTCATATCGTTTGCCAGGATTGGTTGCTGTTGCCTCGACATGTAGATTCGCATACTTTTCTCAGACTTTGGTCTGGTTATACCTGCCATAGCTTACTGCCTTAACCATGCATCGTATTGAGAACGTTTTTTAGGCAGAGGCAACAAAGTGAGGTTTTATATGGGCAAACTTTTGTATTAACACGTAGTTCCATTGAGTT